CTCTCTCTCTCTCTCTCTCTCTCCTGATGTCGATTTTAGAGGATCGCCGACCCTCATACCTACCATTGGGGTCACTCAAACCCACAAAGACTCATACTCCCGACGTCCCTTTAAAGAAGAATGTATGCATGAAAGAAAAACCGTCTTGCCTTATGATGGAGTCTGATTGGATCCTAGGAATGCACTAGGAAATGGCACCTTTCTTTTGTTTCCTTTATTTGAATATTGCAGAGGGTGAAAATCATAAAGGAGACACCTTTCACCCTGACAAACGTAGTAATTTTCCAGCAAGGGTCATTTAAGGTTGATTGTTAGGGTTAAGTTGAAGGTTATGATTGCCCAGCAATTACCCCACTTCAAAAAGCGTGAATAAAGGGAACTTGCTGATCTTGAGGATGAAATTGAACAAAATAAAATAAAATTGTAATATATATACAGGGATAAGTATTTATTATATACAAATTTATTTCTTCACATTTTCCTGATTACATGTAAATTTTTTCTTACATTTATTATGCAGGAAAGGAAAAATAGATTACATAAAATGAAATAATATATTTCGATGTGTAACTATTAATTGTGTAAGTTTTTCCCTTTCATGCATTTAATATACATATTTAAATTGGAAACTTCAAATATTTAAGTCTAAACTAAGTTCCACATGTCAAGTTTCACAAAAAGGGGCTCAGTATTTGTGCAACCTGACTTGTATAGTTGTTGTGGAGTATTTCTCAGCATGAATCTACAAATAACAAATAAATTATCTACATCACACAACTTCAAAATATACTTCATGATCTAATACCATATACATTTATCTACAGATTAGGACCAACATTTCAATAGTATACTCCATTTAGTCTTACTGCCTCTGTAAGTACAGCCATCAAAAAATAATACACAATGCTACATGCTACTTACCAATATAATACTTCACAGCAGATATGTTTGAGGATGACTATTTACAATATTTTTCTTATCTATTAAACAAATGCTCCTTGGTAGGCCTTAATGATTAAAAAAACAAGAGCATTTAATACAAATATATTTTGCAAATGAATAAGTCAATTAGAAACTCTTGACCATCACAATTAATTTCCATTTCACTGACAATACAATTCTGAGCAAGTAAAAAGATTCTGAGAAAATAAAGAGCTTAAAAGTGATGAAAACAATAATCTGGATAAATAAGAAACACAGTGAAGCTAAGAGAGATACTTGACTTCTATTAGCAACAGAATCAGACACTAATATCCTGTCGAATTTCAGCTAAGTTTTCAAGAAAATACATTCAATTTTGTAAGTCATTCAGTTTTATAATGTATTGATTGTTGTAGAAATACTTTGGTTTCCAAAAGAATCAGTTGCATTTGTCTCTGTTTTTACTGATCTTTTAACCACAATAATGGATGCTACAAACAACATCTTTGCAGACTATTAGAACACATTATTATTGGAACAAAGATATGACATACATGTACACAAGATGTGTACCCATAAATAAAATGTTTAGTATGTGAGCACACTTTCCTATCAGTAGATTTCTACATAAAGAAATAAAAAGGTTTATAGATACTGTCTGATGTACAATTTTTGTCGCAAGTGACAGGCAGTCTTTTTATTTACAAGAGAAATGTTTATCCTGTTTGGCACATCAAAATTACACAAGAACTGGCTGGCGCGATCTACGATTGATCGAACGCTGGGGCCGAGCCCCAGACTGTAGCGGCTATAACTGGGCATCAAGACAAGGTGCTGGGGTTGGGAGCACTGGCCCATTGCTGCTGCTTGTAGGAAGATCAGGAGGACTGTGAGTTGATTGCTGAACTGCGGACTCTGCTGTTGTCTGTGTTGCACGGTTTACAAGGAGACGTGGTTGGGGATTAGCAGGTCGTCGCAGCTGATGGACTACATCCTCTCGCAATTCAAGATCCACTCCTTCAAATACATGAAAATAAACAGATAGATAAAAAAATTGATTGAGAACAATTCATGAAAATATCTCTCTTTAAAAAAGACCAAAAGTGCTATGAGTATTTTTAGTAAAACCATTCATAATGTAGTGTTATTCAAAATTCAATCCTATGAAAATTCTGATTAATATGATATTTGTGTGTTGTACTGTTTACTTTCTTTATGCTATTAGTGTAATTATACACTCTCTGTAACTTATTATTTTCTTTAACTTTCTACTTTGTCAGACAGTTAATTTTATACTGATTATGACTTAATGGAAAGAAATAGAAGCAAAATTTGAAGCCCAAGGTTCTCTCACACTTTCCATTCTAGATTCTTTTACAATATACAGATATCTCTTAGTTATCAACTTATTTATAAAGAAACAATTTTTTGTTTGTGGTGTGACTCCTTTGCTTAAGGACTATTGGTTTGAGGTTGCGGGAATTGCAATTGCAGTTTCCTGTTGTTTTTTGACAACACACCATGTTCCATATCAATTTCTAACAAATTACTAGAGATTTTGAACCATTTAGCTTAAATTTCGTATTTTCTTCCCAATACAACTGCAGGCAAAATGCATGAGGGATTTTCTACATATGTCTCAACAATCAGGGCCAATTATTAATAATTTTTTGACTCTTTTGAGAAATGCATTATCTAAAAAGGGTGCATTCCCCCATCTATTTAAAATATGATTAGACTTTTTTACAATTTCCTACAGGCTCTCACAAATATAGTTTTTTATATTTGTAAAACATAACTTCAGAAATTATTTTGATTCTTTTCCAAATACTCTCCCCTCCAAAGGCTCAAGACAACCCTTCTCGTAACAAGCAATACTCTCTGCATATAGTACTTATCTGCATTAAATACCTGTATTATAATTATATATTTATTAAAAGAGACCTATTACTTTTTAATGTAGTTATTTATAAATAGTACTACTGAAAATGATCAAAGAAGTTTGTGTTGTTTACCTTCACTATGTGCGGATGATGGTGGTCCTAGAGAAGGTTTTTCAGGACAAACAACAGCAGCCATCATACTACCAGTTTGTGCAGTTCCTGTCACTCCAGGACTTTTGATTGCACTATAACGAACCTGCAAATGAAAGTTGAAATGCAGAGAATAATTGGAGTAATTGTGTATAAAAGAATTTCTATTGGGTTCTCTGAAAGAATTTAATGCAATGCAAATTAATTATTTTTATCAGTAAACAATTTATTAAATTATGATTTTCAAAGTGATGCAACTCCTTCTCGGCTTCATATTGAAGAAATGAATCATGTTTCTTTCAAAATTGTAAGCAAGTGCTATCATGTCCCTCCTACTATTATGGTCTCAAAACATGTAATTTTCTTAATTAATTCATTTAGATGAGGAGGTTGCATATCGACATTAAACACAAAATTCAGAGAACAAAGATGAAATCACTCTTATTTAGACAAAATACAGAATATAGATGGCTTTATTTTACGATGGTTAAAAAGTTTAGTAGTATAGAATACACAATTTCATAAGACTATTTCTGAATGTATTGTTTTATAATCAATGTGATCAATGTGCTCAAATTAAAAAAAAGGTTTTAATTTTCATGTTTTAGATTTCTTGGCAGAAAGAAAATTGATCAACTACTGCTAATGAAAATCTTTTGAAAGAAAAATAAACCTCTGTACTACTACTACTACTACTTTTTTCATAGAAAATAGTTCAAATTATACGTACATACTGAACTAAGTTAATTAGATAAACATAATAAAATCTTACGGGCATCATGCTCTGTCGTACATTCCTCTCAGGCCGGACAATTATAATATAGAGCTTTGGTGAGAAGAGACATGCAAGTGTAACACTTGCTGACAAACTAATTGTCACTGACATACTGGTGATTCGCAGTGGAACATGACTGCTAGTGCCAAAGTATAATGGAACAAATGCCAACCATATGACACATGTAGTATACATGGTGAATCCTGAAAAGAACATATTAATTTTACCTCAAGAACTTTTTCCCTGAAGAGTTGTTTCAAGTTAACAAGACATTCTAAAAGAATTAAACCATTTTTATTTTACATATTTTTAAAATATATATTTTTACATACAGCGAGAATACATACAGGGAATTATTTGAACATTAATTATCTGAAACATCAAATATTCACACTCCCATTTCTCTGAATAATATTTTTTTTATTAAAGTACTGTACACTATACATATTCATTTTCTTTTGTAATACTGAATATTGAGAATGATCCCTGATATGATTGACAGTGATAAAAATATTAATGAGATAATCGATCATCAGATTTCAGTGAACTTTGACAAATCCTACAATAAATGCTTAAGAACTGAGAATGTTATAGCAGAATAAATGGACTACACCATCTTTCAGTAATGGAAAACCAGCAATTTCTTCAAGAAATGAGGTACTAGGTGCTGTGTGGTATGCCAGTATACAGGATTTTTGTGTGTCCAGTGCAGTGTTTTAATAGTACGTATTTTTATGTTCCCTTGAACAAACTTTATACATGCAGCATTTTATGAACACTTGCCATTTTTATGTTCAGTTATTCGTATAATCAAATATCTGAACTATACCTGATTCCAACTAGTTCAAATAATTGACATCCCAATGTATTTGTTTTGTTCAAATAATTGACGTCCTACTTTTACTGCATATTTCGTTAAAAGCAAGTTCGCAACAAAGCTATGCAATGGGCTTCCAATAACGTCAGACCTTTGCTATTAATATTGTGAAATGCCCCCTCCACTAATACCCTCCGGCTTTGGGAAACCACGTTGATAGCTGTCAAGATTAATGATTAGTGGATGTATATAAAGTAGAAGTAATGTCAACCATGTGCTTCCTCATGTTTCATAGGCCCCCACATGCAACTCTATTAAAAATTAACAAGCATTTTTCAAATCATTATCTTATTGCATAGCTGGATTGGGGGAGGGGGGCTATGTTCCCTTTACCTCCCTCCTCTGGGATACATCATGGCTGCATGGTTTTCACTTGAGTGCCGATTCCTCATAAACAGCATTGTTTATATACCACCATGTATATTTCGAATGTAACCTTTCTTTTAGCCTCTCTGAACCTGTGTGAAGATCTGAACGGTAATGTTCACGCTTTTAGAGAGGAATGCATTTAATGGAATGGAATAACATTATAATGAAATTTAATTATGCATTTTTTTTCATATATATTTTGAATAAAATAAATGTATGTATCACCTGTACTATATATTTTGTTTGTTTTATTCAAATAAATTCCATGAAAATAAGTGCACATTTAATTTGAGACAGATGGTGTGGGATAAGTCAATTTATGACTGTTTTTCTCTTAAAATCATCTTAATCTTTTATGGAAAAAATTTCTCTTTCTGATTAAAATTGTGTAGTAAACTTCAGAGAATGTTTTAAAGTAAATATCATTAAGTAAATGTGAAGTGGAGTAGTAATCTTCAACTTACATTTAGTTTTGGAAACTACTATTTTAGAATGAACAGTAAATTTCTGGAAAATTTAAATGCTTTTGAATAAAACTGACACATTTTCTTGTCTTTAGTTACCATCTTTCAATTTATATAGATTAATAAATATAATTAAGTCCATTTTTTGTTTTTGTCAGTTTTGTATGGTTCTATTTCCAGTAACTTCATGTATCATGCAGATCTATTATTGAAGATGACTGCAAGAGGAAAATGTTTGAAACAACTGAAATGCATTTAGTCCCTCAGAAATATAATTATTCTAAATGCTTTGGTGACAATATCCATTTTCTTTCATTTAAAAACCCTTACATATTTTAGGATAAATAAATAATATCTACTTTAGGTCTGAAAGGATCAAGCCACTCTCATTATGATGAAATGAAACTGACCATTTCTAATGAATTCTCTGAAAATTTCCAGAACACATTAGCTAATTCTTACTAGTTGAAATTGAAAACAATAATTAATAAAGAAACATTGATAGAAAAGAATTGAATAAATAAATTAACATTAACAGAGGCATTCTCTTACCTATGTGCTTGCTTTCATTGAATGCTTCAGGTATTTTCCGGGTCAGTACTGCATATACAGTGCAGATGATGATAAGGAGGATTGGGTAGCCAAATGCAATCATGTAGGAAGCATCAATATGCGAAGAACACACCAAATGGTTGTCCTCACGTGTTGGATGATGATGAACAGCTCGAGGTGGTGACACTAGGATCCACACACCATTGATAAGAACCTAGTCACACACAGAAGCAAACCATTGTAGTACATATTCATTCATTGCAAATTAAAAAAAAAAAAAAAATCTTAAAGAATACCTAAATAAGAAAGCTCTATATTCCTTGGAAGAGTTATAAACCAGACTGTGTATATTCAAAACAAATGTCCTGTTGATATTCAAAAAAGATGTCATAAAGAAAATAAATTGAACTTGTAATTGTTATTAACTGTGTTGTAATTGCAACTGTTATTAATTGTTATTAACAATGCACCTGTAACTGTTATTAACTGTGTATTGTAATTGTTCTTAATTGTTAGAGACTGCCATTGGTTCACTCCACATCAAATTTAAAGAAAATTTGACCTTGATGTTCCAGACTTTTTTTTTTTTGCGAAGAACATAAGCAAAAATATAAAACACATTTTTTTAATTTTTTCCCAAATACTGTTTTTTAAAATGATATTAATTTTCAAAATTTTTGAAAAAATGTTCGCATTGCTAAAGTTAATCATGTTAAACTCGTGTTGTTCTTGTTTTTGATAAATTATTTTTAATTATTCTATTGCAAAATTTACTAAAATTTTGCTTTATTTACAAATTCTTCAAATCTTTAACATTAATAATTAAAGTTAAAGACTGTAGGTCTAGTAGAATCAACCTACCCTCATAACAAATTTAAACTAACCGTTTCTACTAAATTCTCTGAGAATTCCTAAAAGATAATTCTTACAAGTTTGAAATTGAAGAAAACATATAGAAAAAAAGGGACCATTTTTGGAATTTTTTATTCATTGCAGTAAATATAAACAAAAATTATGTGCAAACTTAAATAATGTGAATATTTTAAGATCTAACTTTTCATTTCATTAAAAATTTCTTTCATTAATATTGGTATTTTTTTGCAAATTTAAAAAAAGAGAGAGGGGGGGAGAGAGTAGGAGAGAGGGAGAGAAAGGGAAAGGGAGGGGGAGAGATGGAGATAGAAAGAATAATGATATGTACCTCCTTAGTCTATGAGAGAAAGAGTGAGAGAACGAGAGAGAAAGAGAGAGAGAGAAAAAAAGAGAGAAAAAGAGAGAGAATGAGAGAGAGAATGAGAGTGAGAAAGAAAGAGAGAAAAAGAGAGAGAATGAGAGAGAAATAGTGAGAAAAAGAAAGAGAGAAATAGTGAGAAAAAGAGAGAGAAAGAGAGAGGGAAACAGAGAGAAAGAGAGAGAGAAACACAGAGAGAAAGAGAGGAAGAGAGAGAAAAGAGAGATAGTGTGTGTGTGTGTGTGTGTGTGTGTGTGTGTGTGTGTGTGTGTGTATGTGTATGTGTGTGTGTAGGTCGGATAAATAAGAAAAAAATAACACGTTTTTCAGTTTTTTGAATGAATTGCAGTAAATTTAAACAAAAAAACTGTGAAAAATACTCGTTTGCAAAAATAATTTATGTCTTCAAAAAGTGAGATCATCGAAACTCCGGGAAATCATCAGCGAAGAAAATCTCCTTGAACGTGGTGATGAAGTAGCGGAAACGAAACTTCGCCGTGGAGCAACTTTTATGTCAAACCTATTAATGGCAATATAAAACAATATCTCTTGGAACGGGCGTTCGAATGCGATTCTAGCATGGAAATATCTTCGATTTCTAAGAGAGAAATATAAGGAACAACTCTTCGATATTTGGAGATTAGGACAATGAGGAGGTCGATGAAACAAACAAAAACAACCAAATAAATCCAATCACATCGTCTGCCTTCTCCTTCGTCTTTCTCTCTGTCCCTCACGCACATTTAGTTACAGTTCCTGCACATCTCTGAGCAAGATGGTAGTATCAAGAAGCGCCGGTCGAGCACAAATGTAATATAATGTTCAATAATATATCATTTTGTAGATTACGGTATGAGAAATATTTCCCTGAGGCCTTTGAACTCAAAATTTTAGCTTTTAATGCCCTAAAACGCTTTTTAGGAGCAATTTAACTATACAGAGTAAAAAAGAGAAGAAGAAAAAATCGTACCGCATGTTGCGGGTTGCATTTGGAATGCATATTTAATTTTATTTTTCGTTTTCCTGTGAATTTTTACGATATTTTAATAGATATTCTGCTATTCGGAGCGGAGATGAATCCAACAAACAGATATAATGAAAACTGGTCCAGCTCTCCTTGAGTTATAATTGATGTAACTAACCCGACTTTGTTTTATACACATAGATAAGATTTCTTCTCTGTGGAATATTATTTGTGAATTTTGTTTGTTGTTGTGCTTACTTAATTCTACTGTAATGGATTGTCAAATATACTTTTCTTTTTTGATCAGTTTTTGATGTACATAAATATAACCCACCACTCTTAAAAACGAACTCTCGCGAATGAGGGAGGATTACCGTACTATGACATGAAATGACAATTTCAGATTACTTACTTCACGCACGCGTAGTGGTAAGTAAAATTTCCTTTTTTTCCAATCATGGAAGAAAAATCGTTATATTCGTGAAATATTCCATTTTATTCCATTTTTTTAAAAAATACAAATTTTGACAAATGTGATACGTCACGTTATGTGTTGTTTCCGATGTCGCCTAAAGGAACCCCTTCGAGAATTTTTAAAAAATATTATCCACCGAAGGCGGTAAAGATTCTCTTTTAATAAGAACATACTATTATTAATTATTAAGAAGCCTATTTAGAACAATATGAAAGGCAAGTTTTTAAATTTAAAACATTCACTATTCAACGGTTGATTAGTGACTCCGGGAGCGTCAACAACAAAATCATTAGTTCCGTAAGTGTAGTGCATGCTTTATCACGAGAGGTGGCAGTGGTCTTTCCCCGCTGGCAGGCGAGTCTGGACGCCAACCTACGTCGGTTTGAGGAATTTTCCCCAACCAGGTATCTGTCACTAGCAGGACACCGCCCCGTATGGATGAGCTCTAAGCTCCTAACCTGTCTCCCGGCGTATGTGGTAGAGTAGTGTGATGCATGTGTGTGTGTAAGTAGCGGATGAAGATGCTGAAGAAGATGAAGATGTTGCTATGGTACTGCTCTGGCATTCGTCTGGTGTCTTTCGGAGAATTACGAAAATCTACCGACCAGAGCAGTCAGCCGCTAGAATTACCCTCCAGACAGCGGCTGATTACGACTCATCAATCTATCCACTGTGGAAAATCCTGGTTCCTAAATGATGTCGTAGGTTTCCGCGGCCAGAGTCATGATCTGGGCTGTCCGGGTGACGCCGCGTCGATGGCTGATGTGCCGACGTTTCGACCGACATGTCGCGGTCCTCTTCAGGGGCTGTACTGCGCAAGGATGCAGGGCGCTCTTGTTCCTGGTTCCTGTTGGGAGTGGCTCCCGAGGACCTCCCGGTCAGGTGCATCACTACTGTGACATGAGTAGATGCCCTGAGACCCCTCTCCCGGCGGAAAGAAGCGGCGAGTACCTGCACTCCCACGAGGGCGCTGCAGATGAAGAGCTGCGACTTGGGGGAGATGAAGCTGGGCCGCTTCGCCGTGCGCTTGCCCGCGTTGAAGATGCGCGCGATCCGGTTCGTCTTCGTCAACAGCGCCGCATACACCACCGTGAAGCAGAAGCCCGCGCCGAACCTGTGGGCAGCAACACTGGCTTTGCATTCACCTCCAACAATACACCACAAAAATAGGGTAGGCAAATTCAAAGGGGGCGGGAGGAAACACGTCGGACGGTCAGATACACGTTTTCAAATACGTTTTTGGTATCAAGGGCCCGTTAAACGTTTCTGTCTCACTTGGGGAGTTTCTTAGAGAGTTGGAGTGTTCGGGCGTCCGCGTTCGGGAGTCCGGGTTCGGAGTTCGAGAGTTCGGGAGGCCGGGTTGGGTGTTCGAAGTTTCCGCAGAAGTAAAGGACTGGATGAAACAAATTATGGAAGTGGGCGAAACGATAGATTAGTAAATTATATAGTTACCATTCGCCTTCATCGTTTTGGGGCATGCACTTGGCGAGGGGGGGGGGCTCTGTTGCCCCCTCTGAAATATTTGAAAGGGACCAAATAGCATTATGTAATAAATCATTTTATTTTTGTAAATTTGCTCTATCCCTGATTTTCTCTTCTCTTTGACCTTACAATTCGGAAAAATGTGTTACACGAACTTTGAAGATGAGGTTCTCCTAGCCATCTTGCAAGAACTCAAATGGTTCAATATCAAGTGAATTGTGTTCGAAAATGTTTTTTTCGTTTTATTTAAAGATGTAATTTTGAAGAAGAGAAGGTAAAAAAATACCTCTATCTTCAATTTTGCAGTTGTTGGAAGACTCTGTCGAATTGTGAATTTTTGCAATTTTTGAAAGTTCAGAGAATTTAATGAAACTGGGACCTACAGGCCTACGTTGCTATATCTAAAAAATATCCCAAAGTATGGGGCCATTTTGAGAAAAGTTGAAAAATCTTTAAACTTCATGTAAATACAATCAAACGTCAACAAATTAAAATCAAAATATCCGTTTCAAATTTGCAGGGACTTTAATTGAGCCAGATCAATCGGGAGGTGTCGATTTTAGAGAAAATAATCTAAATGATTTAGGCTCTAGTGTTGTCCTCAGCGATAGACAGTCGGACGGTCAGATAAACGTTTTCAAACGATTTTTCGGTATAGAGGGCCCATAAAACGTAGTTTATGACTGACGTGGATAGTTTCTTGGAGAATTGTAGAGCTCAGGAGTTCGGGAGTTCGTGTTTGGGAGTACGGGTTCGGGGTTTGAAAGTTCGGGAGCCCCGTAGTCTGCGTTGAGGGTTGGGAGTCGGGGAGTTCCGGAGTTCCTGTTTGGGAGTCCGGGTTTGGAGTTCGGGAATACCACAGTCCGTGTTGGGGGTTCGGAGTCGGGGAGTTCGGGAGCCCGCGTTTGGGAGTCCGGGTTTGGAGTTCGAGAGTCCCGGAGTACAGGTTGGGGGTTCGGAGTCGGGGAGTTCGGAAGTCCGTGTTTGAGAATCTGGGTTCGGAGTTTGGGAGTTCCGGAATCCGGGTTGGGGGTTTGAAGACGGGGAGTTAGCGTTTGGGAGTCCGGGTTCGGAGTTTGGGAGTCCCGGAGGCCGGGTTGGGGGTTCGAAGACGGGGAGTTAGCGTTTGGGAGTCCGGGTTCGGAGTTTGAGAGCCCCGGAGTCCGGGTTGGGGGCTCGGAGACGGGGAGTTCGCGTTTGGGAGTCCGGGCTCGGGGGGCGGTACCTCTGCACGCCGCACACGACGTCCGTGGGGCGCAGCACGAGGGCGAAGGTGACGCAGTAGCAGAGCAGGATGCCGGTGAGCAGCACGTAGCTGAGCTCGCGGCCCGACGCGCGCACCACGGGCGTGTCGTGGTGGCGCGCGAACACCCCGCACACGAACAGCGTGACGAGCGCGCCCGTCGCCGAGAAGGCCATGGCGCCGATGGCCCAGCCCGACTCGGGCCGCAGGAACACCTACGGGAGCGCACATTACAGCGCGGATTCATTCTTAAGCAGCCGAATCTAGCGATGTGGGATGCCTCTGGATAGGGGATCCCCAATACACTATTTTTAAACAAAATATACTTGTTCCCAAATATTAACGATTCACAAAAGCAAATAATTTAAATAAAATAGATGGTGCATTTTTGGAAACTGCCCTAAAAGTAGTACGGGCCCGGTACCCCGTGTTTCGGCAAATATTTGAATGTGTATTTTAAAATTAACCCTTCTTTAGTCGCGTTTCCCCCGTTTTTTTGTTTGTTTGCTTGACGTTTTGTTGAGAAACTACGAATGGCCGCATCTTTCCAGTCGATTGGGCGATACGCAGTAGTGCGAGTTAAATCCTCTACCGGTGATAACGTATCTCTGAACCCCGTGATCTGACCTGGAGGTTATCTCCGTGACGCGACCGTTGCCGAGTGTTCGATTTCTCGTTCGAATGCCGTGCTGCTTGGAGCGTTTATTGTTTCTTCAGGTATTTTTATCATACAAAGTAGTCAATAATGAGGAGCAAATCAGAAAAAATGGTTTTGGATGTGCTAGATAAAAGTACTGATTTTAAAACTAGTGATGAATCCGACAGAGGGAGAATATGGGAGTGATAAAAATTCGTCTTCGAAAGAATATGACGATGAAGCTTTCACACCCGATTCTCATTTGCAACTAATTCCTGCCTTCATAAATAAAGTAACATGCAAATATGAGACTATGAAGAAAAAATTGAATGTGGTAAAATACGTCCAAGGTAAGGTCGGCTGTAAACAACAACGCACCGAAAAAAAAGAACCGTTAGAGTATACCAGATCCATCCATAACAAACTTGTTACAGTATCATGGATCTGGTATACTCCAATGGTTCTCTTTGTTTTTCAGTGCGTACATATTTCAACCAAGCTTCCAGATTAAATTACGAAAAAAACGTGAATTTCATGATGATGCAACTTATTTCAAATATTCTTTTCTTGTTTGCCTTTAATTTACGGGCAAAGACGAAGGAAAACTGTGTGACAAATGTGTAACCTGCCTGGAAACGTGTGTACGCCTCACCATAATATTGTCTTGCATTTACCAGGGGTGAATGGTAAAAGTCAATGTGAAAACCGTAGCTAGTGCATGGAATCAGTTCTTTCCTAATTGATTACGAGAGAAAATAGTATTTACACAAATCAGCGGATACACGAAAACATATGAAATCGGAGTCACAAAGGGACGCGCGATCCACTAATCTGGTTGAAATAAATGCCGTACTTGTTTGCTGCAGTCAAACTCCTATTACGTTTAAAAATGTATCAACTACCAGGCATCCCTGAGCCATCGCATATCCTACAATCACAAACTGCGAGTAATCTCTCAAAGGCTGGAAGACGTGCTTTCTGTGATTGGAAAAAATCGGCCAACCACAGTCAAGTACAAGTTACAAGTACCGGCATTACATTACTTTCAATGAAAAAAAACTCTTAAAATAACAATGACGTTATGTTTATGTTATATTTATATAAAACTGAACACTAGATTAATGTGCATTTAAAACTGTATCACTTAAAACATGTTTCACTGAATAAACGTTTTGTTTGCCTCTAATTCCTGAACCTAAAGGTTTCCTCAGTGACGCGACTATTTAGGGTAAATAGATTCACGCGACTAAAGGAAGGTTAATATCAAACACATACTAAATTGTATTAATTATTTTAGTTATTGACTTTTCAAATTGAAAAGTTCTCGTTTTCTTTTTTAATTATTTTGATTTCATAATATGTTCAATATTCAGCAGGAAAGCAAGGAAAGGGGCAGGAAAGCAAAAAAAAAAAATCTTGCCTCTACAAATTATTATTGCCAATAACTACCAAAGATAGCGTAAATACACTATGTACTTATTTAGACGTTGGTTAGATTCATCGACCTGAGATCACCTCGGTACTAATGCCTTAGCTATCTCGACCAACCGGATCGGCATTCAGTACATTAGAGAGAGCTACAACTCTCCATATATTGAAGGGCTAGTACATCTAGATTTGTATTTTGTCACTTGTTAATGAAAGCTAATATCGGAATTATCGAAATTATATTCGCAGTACCTCGGCTTGCTACGTGACCATAATGCGTTTAAGTTGCATTTAGAAAGCTATATTATTTCTTTGACAAATCCTTTATCATCAAAGGACTGAGAAGAACTACAATGAAGAAAGAACTCCTGGAAAGGAAACTACACGATGGATAATTCGTCGTACAGGACTGATAGATGTTTTTGATTAAGAACGGACCTGAAAATGAACTGTCTAGTAAAAATAAACTTTCACGTTCAAGCGCGATCATTTGAATGAGGGGGGGGGTGAATTTTGCATGTACCCTTCCGACTACCCTTAATCATCGGCTACCACAGGGAAGTCCCCTTCCACGTTCATCGTGTGTCGGATTGCGGGGCGTCAAGAATTCTTTGAAGGGCCATTCACAATGCAAACATAAACATATACAAGGCGTTAACGTAAAAGTTAGAACTACGTCCATAAGCGGACTCATTCACAATGCGTTCGCATAAGCATTACAAGTAAGACGTTAGAAATGAACCAATCACAGTACGTTAACTCAAAATCGAGAATCGAAATAGGAGCGAAGTCGATAGACAAGCTAACGCCGTATAGGTCATGGACACAGTCGATACCTCGAAATCGATTCTCACATCCAAACTAGAATTTCTCACTGCCAGTAAAAACTCTTATGTAGCTTACGTTTATGTTAGACATTGTGAATACTTCAGTCTATTACTTATGTTAATCTTTACGTCTATGCGTTATGCTTATGTTTACGTTTACATAGTGAATGGTTGTATGTATTGTATTTCAATGAATTGAACACTAAATTAAGTTCTCTTCTTCGCTTTCAGAATTCTTTCAAATTCAATCATCCTCCATACTGCTCGTTGTGTATATTTCGCGAATGTTCATTCCCGCCTGAGATACGGCATAATATTCTAGAGAAATGCATCTTATAGCTGCCAGACTTTCATATTACAAAAAAGAATTGTACGAATAATACGCGAATTCCATCCACATGATTCTTGTAGGCCTCTCTTTATTAATCTAGGTATCTTACCTTTACCTGGTCTTTTGATATATGAATCGGTGGTTATTGTCAAAAATGACTTACTCCAGGACGGGAATATACTTTCCGCAAACGCCATTGTCTATAACTACAACACTCGACGTAGTAATCATATTCATCAGTCTACAGTATCATCAGCTCACTACAAAAATTCATATACAATACAACACCTTGCCAAATTACATTAAAGATTAAATTCGATACAAAAGATTAAGTACCAAGTAAAATATTTTCTGCTGCCAACTGTTTCTATACAATTACAGACTATACCAAGCATCCAAGAGGAAAGTAATATTAATTTTAACAACGCATAGTGTATTATTTGCCATTTGGATTGTATAGTTCTAAAGAACCTATAACAAGTATTGTACTTTTACTTCTTAGTCAATTACCCCCCCCCCCTTCCCCATCACGTTCAGGTTTTCGCCCAGTTTCCCTGACCCTTGAGCAAATGCTGAGATGGCCCTTTGTTTTGCTTCGGAACATAAATGTAACTTCAAATTAACTTCTCCCATAGCACGTCACACACAGGTTTGAACTGTTTTTGACGTAAATAAATAAATCAATGGATCTTAAAGGTTATGTAGAACGACTGCGTCACACACACACACACACACACACACACACACACACACACAGAGTACTAATTGCGGGCCATGTCGCAGATGCAGTGCTGCACTTACCTCTGGGATGTCGCGACAGCGCTGGCGGTTCTCGTCGGGCACTTGGCCCAGCGGACAACTCACGCACTGCGTCTCGTCCTGAGGGTGGCGGATCTGTAGGGGAAGATCATTTCATTATAGTTTGCAGTACTTTTAAATAATTGTTTTGGTAAACTATGATCCCATTAAGGGCAAGGTCTGCCTGACTTTTCGCTGGGAATACTGATTAAAGTGATAGGGTAATGATGAGGGGTAAAAGGACAAACACAAATACAACCGTGACGGAGGAGGGACGCGAACCCGCGATTCTTCGGGCTGAGATCACGTCGACACTACTGCCTTAGCGATCTCGGCCTCCCCCGGCATTCTATACATTAGAGGGAACTACAAATCTCCATATATTGAAGAGCTAGTACATCTAGATTTGTATTTTGTCACTTGTTAATGAAAGCATGTATCGGAATTATCGAAATTATATTAGCAGAACCTCGGCTTGCTACATGACCATAATGCGTTTAAGTGTGCTAGTAGCGTTTACAGAATGATTAATGAGTGCTCATTAAACCATTTTTATAATTTTGAAATTTTAATGAATTTATTAAGTTGACCAAATAAACTACAAAAAAATACGATATAAATAGTCTAGAGAAAATTAGACACATTGATCACATTCATAATAAATTAGCAGGCATTACTTTAACATTGCTTTTACACAATCTATTGCAATATCACGCTGCTATTGCGATATCTTACTAACATTGCTTTTGTTTTTAGAAATCCAAAAGCACTGAATCATAAACTTATAAAACTAAGGTATTAAAACAAATATTTTCGAACTTCTTCATTTTTATGCCGAAGATAATGTTTTACATTTCTTTCGTTTTTGCAAGGCATGCGGAAAAATCAGAAAAAACGCAATAATTCGATATGCTATGCACTCTCTTCTGATATGCTAGCTCCATGACATTTTTGCACAGTCGTGCCCACACACTTCTCGGCAAATTATTTGTTCTAGAACTGAAAGGCTCCAAATGTGAGTTTTAAATGTAAACTACACTGAGCCTCATCTTCCGCTACTTTTTTTTGAAATAATTTTTTAAAAATATTTTATTCTTTATTAATTACATAATAGTAGTTTATGCAATTTGTTTATAATGTTAAGCTTTATTGCATGAGTACATGTTTTGAAAATGAGCGACTTTAGGAGCGAGTTTCCAAATTTGTACGAATGTAATAAAGCAACATTGTAAACGAGTTGCATACTATATTTTTTTGTATAACAGCATTAGACATTTATAAGAGACTCAAACTTAATTTTGCGAAACAACTTCGCTGTGACGACTCGGGTATTTGACATCGTGCGAGTAAACGGTGGTCTGCTGTTCCGTTTAGCTCTACCTCCCCCCGATTCTCTCACTATGATTGGCTGAATGTGTGATGACGCAATCATTCGGGACATAAAATCTAATACGTCATCATTTGTGCCATAAAATGCCCGATTATGAACGATTTCTTGCAACAGAATAGGTTCTTTCATAATGCTGGAATACAAAAAAATACCATTACAAACATGAATATTTTAAAAATCTATTAAGAATAAAATTAAATAAAAAAAGCTCTTGGAACGCCAGAAACCTTATGAAGTTGAAATAATTACAAAAACAGCGTCACAATGTCAAAGGGCAACTAACTTACTGGAACATTAGAAGATAACAATTAATGCACTTCAAATCTATGCTATGAATGCAGGAAATATGCAATCTGATATAAAAAATAACTTCAAAATAAGTACATAAAACACTCGTTCTCTCACCTGGTACTGTGTACAGTTGAAGCAGTGCCAGCAGCAACTTTCACCCTCCACATACTTTTTGGCCTGTCCGATCTGGCATGGCAGACTGCACACCGACTCGGGCACGCTTCGTTGTCCTAGTCGAAACTGCACTTCTGTGGAGCAGCACGTGAACACATTGATATCAATAATGACTTCAAAAATGATTATTAGAACATTACTACATCAGTTTGAGAGTGGCTCAAAGAGAGGAACTCTTTCCTTAATGACATTGTGAATGCAAGCTAGAAAAATGATGTATATCAATATTATTTCAAAGTAGTTCTTTATATAAGAGCTTAAGGAATCAATGAAAAACCTTTAGTAAATATGACAAATTTTCCAATTGTGTTTATTTCTCAAATAAGAACAGATAATATTCTAAATTAAATGAGTCACTTCCTAATTAATCATCGTAAGAACTAAGATTTCTTTAGGGAGTGTGATATGTTTGCGGTGACTTGATTTTTATTAAAGATTAGGAAAAATAAAATAGTTGCAATTATCCCCTTACGTCGCAGCAAAAGAAACGACATAACTGTAGACACGTGGAGAGTTTTCGCAGTGTTTCAACAAAATAGGGGAACTCAAAATGTACTTTAGTGTCGTTTTGAAATTGGAAGCCCATCAAGGAAGTGTGAAGGTATTGCTTACATGAGAAATTTGTAAAATATGAATCTCCTTTCAGGAGTACTTTTGGGGAAGGGACTACAAAATTATGTTTTGGGCATTTTAAGGTCGGATGAATCCAACTTTTGCCTGCTAGAGAGTTTTCCAGGTCTGGGTCCTGTTGCTACTTATTAACCACGTCTGGAGGTAAAGGAGACCTGAGGCGAGCATGATGTACTCCCTTCACCATACAAGTATACTGGGCATACCTCATCATTTCATTCGACACAAGGCTAAGACGATTGGAAAGAAACGTTACAGCTCTATTTTTGCACCGACCGGGAATGAAACCGGTATCTCATCATGGAAATACAGCACACTCTCCATCAGCCAACCGAGGGTCTGGTTTCATCCCCACGGAGAGAGGAGCGAAGAAGTAACACAAAGGATTGAAGCAAAAAATACAGTGAAAAAGGATTTGACCGTTAATGATTGCTTATGCAATGGCTCACCAGACATGTTGAGCTCGAGACCCTTCTCCGTATATTCGCCGACGCGCACCCACTGGTAGTGGTCGCGCGACATCTGGCGGAAGTGGATGATGTTGTAGCGCGCTGGACCGTCTCCGTTGCTATCGAAGTGGAAACGATCGCCGCTCAGTCCTACACATACATCATTTGACATCAGAAAGGCACGATGCATCACATTTATTTTTGTTCCATGAAATGATGTATAAACATGTATGACATGATGTATAAACATGAAATGATGTGTGTCATAACATAGTTGTAAAAATTGATGAAGCTTATAGCTTATTTGAATAATGAAAATAATTAACATTCCACGACGGTGATTAATATTTTACTGCTATTAAAATTATACATGCCACAATTAAGTTGTAAACTATGAAGAACCCAAAGAACAGTAAATGAACATGTTAAAGAAAAACGGGAGAATCTCTCCCTAAAATCAGAAGATGCTATAATTTTGCCATCGAGCTTAGAATGTAATTTATGTAAATAGTAGCAAAGAAAATGACGAGAAAATATCAATGAGTTGGACATCAGAACATTAAAATTATAACTGAATTTAGTAATTAATTAATAGTACTAGACAAGTTTCAGCAACCGTTAAACTTCACTTTGCGTTCAAATACATCGTCAGTGCCTACGTATCTAAAAATGTCATTTTGAAGGATAACAGTTTAATCCTAAACCACGTCGTGTATTTTGTGGCCAACGGCAAAGCCCTTCTGAAATTTTTACTAGAGCTTTACTATAAGTGTTTTGTTACTTGTGGTTTGCTACTTTTTACTGGTGTAATGTCTAGAAAACAATATAGTAAAAACATCACCCATTGGTATAGCTCTCTTAAATTTAAATTAAAACGAAACACTAAAGTTCAGTAAATACTGTTTTGTAGACATATTTCTTTACGTAACCAAAAATAACGATCTTTTGAGATGTGTCACTTTTCTTGTGTGGCAACGATATCTGAAATATTTTTTCTCAGAACCATGAATATTCCTACCTGCTGAAAACTATTCTACACTTTGAACTTGAGAGGCCTTGATATGCAAAAACAGTTGTATGAGAGAGGACTCACCTTCAAATGTAACTTTGCGCAGGTACTTGAGTAGCTCCGTGCCCTTGATGGGCTTCATGGCGTCGCAGAGGCCAGGCCGACCCGCACACAGCTCGCGGTGCATGTCTCTGCGGAGAAGAAAAAAAGGGTGGAATGAATAAAAGCAATTACTCTTTGCTCCGAGTTTCCGAGATCCTTCTCAGTTTCGTATGAATAAAGTGGGTGAGCAATTGCTCAGTGTCTGAGCACTTGCTACATCTCTGAGTGTACTCTCAACTGGCGAGCAAATGCTCAGAATTGGTATGAATAAAGTTAAGCGTTTACTTTCTAGAGTGAGCACTTGCTTCAAAATTTAGTAGCAGACTCACGTTTGAAAATTAAGGTTAAATTAGCCAATTTTTTTACCGTGTGTTGATTTGCAGATGCAGCGGACTCCAAAAAATGATAAGATGAGGCGAAATTCTCATGATGTAGACTATTAGAATCTTTGCCGATTCGAAAAGGACAATGTATGGTTGGTACGATTTTTATCGGCTTTTTCTTGAAGGCGCGTTTTCATATTGCATATCATCTACGTTAATTGGCCATCGCTCTTTTCTACTTGGAATTTTTCGGGGGACTGTTATTTAAACTTAGTAATGTTTCGTTTCGGCCACAGCATGCCTCCGAAGGCTGGCCGTTTTCAAAAATAATTTTATATTTGCTTACCATTTCGGCAAAACCAGCTGGACCTCTGGCGCCTGTCCTTCGTTATTGCTATTCATATTCGAATTTAAAGAACGAGACAACAAAACATTGCTCTTTATTCCGCACAAATGTGCGGGACGCGCGTAAGGTATGTAGCCTCTTTGTTACTCAAGAAACCAATTTTTAAAACTATTAGCCTGCACTATCACTTGTTCACGACGAGCTAATGCTCGCGAGACATGAGTAAGTTCTTCGGAGACATACGAAGTTTTCATTCATACGAAATGGAGCATCTGCTCAGTGCCGGAGTAGACTCACTTTGCTCCGGAGCAAGTACTCCTGAACAAGTGCTCATTTTTATTCATAAGACCCAATGTCATCGAAGGTCACACTTGAAAACCCATACCATAGATTATTATTGGAGGTCACATGGTTCATATACTTGAACAATCGAACAAGGAAAATATGTTCCGTAGCTGACTTAAGCCATGCGTTCCGTGGAATGTGAACTGAATGGTTATGTTAAAATCGCATGTTTACGACTTATCGCCTACGTCAACACGTAAATCATGTAAGAGCGCGGGGAGCGGAGGGGGGCGGTACGCACTTGAAGGCGTGCGCGAAGGCCATGACGGCGTCGCTCACGAACTGCAGCTGCGCCTCGAACTCCGTGTTGTTGGGCGCCAGCGCCAGCGAGGACGTGCACAGCTGCTTGTACTTGGTGTTGTACGGCGTGCGCGAGCTGTTGGGGTAGCGGCATTGGAAGTGGTCCTCCCAGAACTCTGCAACACGCGTTACAACGTATTCGCAGGACAGGACGCTGGTAAGATTAAAAAACCTGAAAAATGAATAGAGAATCTCGTGTACTTATGGACAACAAATGTGTTATTGCATTGCTAGCTCAAATACGTGTTGGCATACACGCAGTACCATACACGTCGGGAGAGCAGTCTTAGCTTAGGGTTTGTTCTGGCTGGGGCTGATGGAACATTCTGGAGAGGAAACTGATGTCGTGTAGGTCGGCGCTGGATCTCACGTTCCAGCAGGGAAGGAACCTGCTGTGTGGCCATAACACGTATAACACTCATGGGACTTAAAATCAAAGGAGTTGACGCGATCGGAAATACTAAACACTTCCTTAAATGCGAGTTGGTATTTTTATTTGTTTGCAATATGCACATGAAGTATCAATAATAAAAACAAATAATTTTGTATTCCTTTACTAAATGAAGAACTTTAGCTAAATAACGAACAGAAACGGAAAATTCCGAAATTATTCGCAAAGGGATATTCCATGCGGGTGGCGTAACTGAGTTCGGCATCAGGGCCAAATCGGTATAAATGCTAAATGATAGAGAGGTATTGAAATAGTGAACGCAGTATAAGAACCTCACGATGAAACGAATGGGAATGAAATTGCCACTTTAAATTGGCCTTGAAGCATGCATTCCAGTCTTTGATGGAGTTAGTCTTTGTAGTAAAGGATTTTGGGAGAATCCGAGCCAGCAGAAGCTTTCAGACACCCGCTTCGGAAAGGAACGTCTCTTTCACTCAGACCGAACGATCTGTAAAGTTAGCACGAAGTCTACAGAAAGAAGCGAGGACTAGCACACGCTTCACACATATCGGCGGCACTTCGCGGCAGCTAGAGAGAGAGGAAGGAGGAGGAGGAGAAGGCTCGCCACGCAGAGAGAAGCGAGAATAGGGTCTTAACCCTATTTCGTGGCTGAGGGGGTGGGCGGGCGGGTTGGCGTCGCGAGCGCGCTCTGCGCGGCACGCGGCGGAACGACGGTGGCCGCTAGTTCTCGCCGCCGCCGCGGGGGCCGCAGCTGCGCCGAGACCGCGCGATTCGATTAGGCGGGTGGCGCGAGCGCGCGCGCAATCAGAGGCGAATTAGCTGGACATCTGCTCCAAAACCCCCGGCGCCCCCGACGCACTCGTCCGCGGTGAGGAAAGGCGCGGTGGGGGCGGCGGCGGCGGAGTGCGCCTGAAAGCGGTTTTCTGTCGCGAACGAACTGCTGTCGGTCGCCGTTTCGTCTCCACGAAATTGCTACGCGAAAGGACCATTTCAATAGAGTCGCCAGCACGGTGGAAAATAGAAGAGTGTTGGAGAGCGCGATGTTCGTAGATTCTTTTTTAATTAAAACATTAAGTTTTTGCTTCTCTCTTTCTGGATGTTGTTTTGAAAATGTTAACATTTTTTTATGAAAAAAATACGAACAAAAATGTTGTTAACATTTATTATTCTTTATTTATTACGTAATTATTACTTTAGAGTTAAATTTACTTTGTTGTATTCTTACAACTGAGATGAGAACCAGAAGTGATTGAAAACCAAAAGTAAACATCTTTTTCACGGTTTTCCATAAGTTGTAAGGGTTAATGCAATTAAATTGCTGATTAACATTGAAGTTCAACTATACTTCACTACAAATGTGTTAATTTATTAATCTAATAATATTGCATGGTCATGTATTACATTTACTTACATTTAAGTGAATTTTGAAAAGATAATGGCAAAACTCTTTCATTTAAATCACTATCTCACGTTAGGGATGCATGTAAGAAGTACGCAAAAGTACAGTATAATTAAGGATAATTCCAAAAAAAAAAAAAAACACACTCTCAAGAAAGAAACATAATTTTACTCCCTTATACTCTTTTAGATTAATCATTTTGTGAAAATAATTTTCCACAAATATATTCACTATCAAACACAAAAATATATTTTAATACTACGAGTACAATAAAAACTTTACAATCTACTAAGTTATTACAATCAAGTTTTAAATATTGAAACAATAAAAAATTGTAAAAATAAAACCAAATCAATAAAACAATTATGACATACTAACCGCCAAGGATTATAAAAATAAGTATTTTTCTTCTTCCTGGGACCTACGTATGTCATAATTTGTTTATTATTTTGACTTTATTATATTATATTATAAAGTATAACGAATTTTGTAGCAATATTTAAATAGAATTTTTGAAAAACGCCCACCAAAGGGTCTTAAATAAAATAAATGATTGAAAAATAATCTCTTTAGATAAAATGTCAACATAATTTTTCCACTAATAAAAACAATGTATTCTATATATTTAAGTAAACAACAAAACGTATTTTTAGATTTTTTTAAATAGAAAGGATATAACAAACATTTTTTTAAAGAACACCTTCATCACACCTATTTATCATAATAAAAAGGTATCTATCTCACCAGCGATCTAATTAATAAAGAACACATCTCTCTTTAAACAGAATAGTTTTGAATAAATTATTTATTTAATTTAGTCATTCATGTTCATAAATTATTTTTTATTAAAAACCTGTTAATATTTTTTATTTTATAGTATTGTTAACATGAATGACTTTAAACTAAATAAATAATTTATTCAAAAACTAGTCTGTCTAAAAATGATGTGCACTTAAATAATTATGAATGTATAAAAACGAAACATACAATTTTCAAAATATTTTTAAATGTAATAAACAACTTCTTTTGAAAGCATAGGCTTCCTTGGCCGGATCGGTAACTACTCGGCTGTGCAGCAGTCGCCACGTCCTTGGTGTAGGTGTCAACATTTCAACCACCATTCAGTGATCTTTCATTTTGGCCCTGAGAAACGTCGCAGAATGGCGGCCGAAACATTGGCAGCTGTGTTTATTAGGACACAGCGTTCCCTGGACAGCCAAGTAGCTACAGCAGGTTTTTTAACCGTTTCTGACAGATTAAATTTACACCAAGGACGTGGCGACTGCTAGACTGCCAAGTAGTTACCGACTCCGGCCACGTATAGAAAGCATGCTTTCATATATATATATTAATTGTTGTTGTTAATTTTGAACATCGATATATGAAATAATAACTATTACCGTTATTAATGTGTTTGCATCATATATATACAGTCTGCTGATTTCGCTCGAAGGTACGAGCGCGCGCTGCGCGGCGGGTACTCACCGACGAACCACGGGTTGCGCCTGTTGTTCTCGACCGTGAGGTTGAGGAAGTACTCGCGGAAGCCGCGCACGGGGTTGGCGCGCGGCTGCACGGACAGCGTGCCCTCCACCTCGCGCTCGTTGCCGTCCGACACGAGCGAGCGCGCGCTCCACCCGTCCGAGCCGATCCAGTAGAAGGCGCCCGTCGCGTTCACGCGCCGCACGGCGCGCATCACGCCCGCCACCTCCTGGTCCGAGCCGAAGATGATCACGCCTGCGCACGCAACACGCTCCACTCAGCCCAACCGCACTCAACGGTTCTCAGTTTGAATCAGCTCCAGGCAGCCTGCAGTGCATGGAGCACATTCAACACGCACCACTCAGCTCAACTGCACTTAACGGCCCTCAATTTGAATCAGCTTCAGGCCAGCTAGCGTTCGGACCGAGCCGTAGATGATCACGCTTGCGCACGCAACACGCTCCACTCAGCTCAACCGCTCTCAACGGTTCACAATTAGGGAAGCGACATCGTTGTCGATGTTTTCGAAACATCGATGTTTTAAACATCGATTTATTAACACCGATGTTTTTCAAATATCGATGTTTCGTGATCAATGTCTTTCCGATGTTTTGTGTTTGAATGAAACATTTCCATGATCATTATATTGAAAAAAAGTTTAAGTATGAAATAACTGATAGGAACACTGTTATTAATATGGTTGCACCACATGGACGCTCTTCATCGTCCAAACTCACTCGCTCGAGATGATCTTCATTTCCTTGTATTCCCTCTTATCTTCATAATCATTTCGCACATTGAGATATGGTCAACAAATACGCTATGGTCGGAGCGTCTCCTCCATCTTCTCGTACCCTTATTCGACGAATGGATAAACACGAACACTGTCAAATTAAATTGTAATTCATACAAATTTAATGATAGATGCTAGTAATCCAGTCTAAAAACATCGATATTGAAAAACATAGATGTTTTTAGTTGATGCATTTTTAACATCGATATTTGAATTTTGAACATCGATGTTTGCTAACATCGGTGTATTGTTATCGATAGTGTAAATTTAGTAATGATGTTTAATAATAGTTAAACAATCGTGTAAATTTGAAATTTAAAGCTCTTTTCACAGATTTTTTTTCGAAAAACTTAATTAGAAGTAATTTGAAGAATTTTAACACGCATATACTATAGTGTTTACATATTGCTGGAAATATACATATTAACGACGTGAGAAATCGTTCAAAAAATTACATTAATGTAATTTTTGAAGAAAAAAAAAAAACGAACAAACTTTACGTCATATTAAACTGATCAATTATCACCATTGGTTCGAAACGTTTGAAGAAAATGTGGAGTCGTTTATAAGAAAATGGCCCTTGAGCGTTTCTGAAAATGCGGAATTATAAGCTAGTTTTCACAGAAAATAGTTGTGTTTTTGAGGAACTTTATTTGACATCATTTAAAGCACATGTAGTAATGCATGTAATAATGTGATAAAATTGCCTCTCCCGTAAATATTAACGACGTGAGAGGCAGGTCAAAAAATTACATTTTTTAACTTTTGGAAAACCTAAGCATAGAGCTATATAGCTTTTATGTAATCTTCTAGAGTGCATTTATCAAAATCCCTACCAAAAGTTTAAAGAGGCATTTTGGAAAAAATATTGTTTTTGTAATTTTTTAAAATTGCAAATATTGCATGCAATATTGCACGAAAATTACTGCAATTTTAAAAAAACCGAACATGATCTTATTGAAAGAACTCACTATGGACAACAAATTTTATATGAAGTAAAAACCTCTATCTTTAATTTTTTTAGTTAAAGTAAGACGCGGAAAAATTCAAATTTTTAGCAATTTTGGAAAATTCAGATTACCATGAGAATTGGATCTATGTCTCCGTTATAAGTGTATTTTACTCTATTCTTATAGGAAATTTAAATAAAAAGTTTAGATGGTTTTTTGAGAAAATTTTGAAAATGTCCGAGAGACTTTTTATAAAGTACCCCCAAAATTTTGAAGAAGTTTTTTCAAAATCATCTCGTCGAGTGGAGCCAGTTCGACCGGGAAATATCCATTTTGGAAAATGTTGGTTTGACGTTAGTGGTGTTTACAGACTGACAGACGAAGAGTCGGATAGAAGGGCGTTTTAAAAGGGGGGAAAATTTAAAAAAAGCATTTTTTCGTTGTCAAGAGACCCCAAAACGAGTACGTATACGAGACTAAAAATTTATGTTAACTCCATGGATGATTTTATAAAAACATTGATATTTTGAAAACCTCGTCATCGATGTCACATCCCTATTCGTGGCGTGTGAATACTTAAGAGCTAACCACTGCATTGCTGAAAAGGACTGTTATAATACAATTTGTTTTTATGGTGTTAAAAGTCGAATTACAACTTTAAGTTAATTACAAATTATAGAACTTTATTTACAAAGTTGGCAACTAAAAACAGAAGAATCATATGCATGATTTTGGAATTATACTAAACACATTCACAGAGAGTAGTGCTAATAAACGGTGTGGTTTATCAATGTGCTAAATTAATTATTTAATAATTGGTGTAAAATATTGTAATAGAGATATGGTCTTTTCTGTGAAAAATAAAAGAGTAATACTTTTTCACTAAGTACCAGAAGAAGAAAATCGCCAACAACATCTCATGTAAAATGTAACAGAGGAAGTTAAGTTTTCTAAAACTATTTTTAAACTGTCAATGCTCCTACGTCCAACAAATTTGATGATAGAGAACGAACCATTTAGGTACGTTTCATACTGGCACGTTCGCTTCAACAAGTGTAAGGCGGCAGTGATGTATTCATTCACAACGCGTTAACAATGCAAACTGGTACTGATTCACCGCTAAAAGTTTCATTTAGTATTTTTGCCACGCACTCTTGTTTCCCGGGATCGGGTGTTTGTTTGGAAAGGGAACTTGTTGAAAGCGTGTGGGCGTACGCACGCCGGGGATGGTGGAGATAGCGCATGTTTTGTGTGCGAACACCGAAGCGCAAAAAGCACTCGCCGTGTTAAAATTCGGCGTTCCTCCTGTTTTATTGTTCTAAATTTCGCGCTATTATGGAAACCGCGCCACTTCGTAGCCGCAGGGACGTCATTTCGTTCATGCAGAGGCGCATTCTCACTTTTCGTCAGTTTGCCAGCGCGTCTGGTGTTTTCTGCTAAACTGTTGTTTACTCTTGCAAGCTGTCTCACGTGTGTAAATTTAAAACGATCGGTTATACTTGAAGAGACATGTGTTTCTTCAGGTAAGAAAGAAAGTTATAGTTTATAAATAAAATATATCAATAACATCTACCTATAATATTACAATATAATCTAAAAGACATGATAATACAACTTCATCCAAGTATCAACGAAAGACAATATTTGTTTAGGATTTGATACATGGTTATATTTTTGTCTATTACTATTATATATGACCATAACAATAAGGAAAAGCTATTTTTACAATAGTACATGAAGCGCTAAAAGTTCGTCACGAGGAGTTAAGGTCATTTTTGTTCCAGTGACAGTTTTATTAAAATAGGTTATTTTAAGAATTCTGGAGACAACGAGACCATTTCAGGAAAGAATGCGATAATTTTCTTAGAAGTTCAGATACAATTGCAAAAGTAAAGAATTATCTGCGTGTACCGAACATATATATTTCAATATCAATCTTATGACTTTTGTGATAAATGAATTTTTCAAGTTTCATTGTTTACTGAACAAGTTTCACTCTAACGGTATTTTGCTTTGCAAGATAATTTAAACTCGGAGAAAAAAATTTCAGACATTTCTGCAGAGAGCAGAAATTAGAAATAATATCATGGCTTTTGTAACACGTTAAAATATTATAAGTATAATCCCGTTCTCCGTCTGCACACAAATGCACAAAAAATCTTGGTTAAGACGAACATCCTGATTTGCGGCCATGGTAGAGCCCTAGTATGCAAATGAATGCTATATACTAGTATATTAGGGCGACGACTGTTGCAGGTCCAGCACATCGTATCCTTTTTCTCTTTTTGCCATGAACCGCTGGAAAACGCTGTCTGTGCTTCATTCTAGATTTCAACGTAGCCCTCTTCCCCTTCTTTTTCTCTCACTCAGTCACGCCCAGTTTCGTCATTACGCTCGTCTGCACTATACTCATCCCTGCAAATCATCCCTCATCGCTCGCACTCCACCTCCTCCCGAAGCATCTACCCACGGTCGCATCTTCCATGCTTGCTTTTTCACTTCTTACCACGGCCAATTTCTATGGTCTGCTGCCTTCGTTGCGTTCTCGCAGTTTGCTTCGTTTACCTCGACCTAACCCGGATCCTTTAACTTTGGCATACGTATACGCTCGGACTGATCTCATATATTATGCCTGACAGGACTACCGGCGGGTTCGGTGGTATAGCAGCGTATAGGGCTATTGTACCTAGGTTTGCGGGTTCAAACCCAATCGAAGCTGTGGTATTCTAAGGATGAAATAAATTCTTCGAACGCCTTCCTTCGGAGGGGAAGTAAATACGGCAATCCCATGTTGTAGATTTACTGGATGCAAACGGTTCTCGAGCCTAAAAGAAGCCTCTGAGTCGCTGAAAATCGCCTGTTCCGTCGCCCAAGTAATACCTTTTTTCTCCGGTTGATGGTTCAAGGAGCTAGCGAAATTTGCGTGGCGAAAGAGCGGGCCAGATGGTCTCATAAATTAAGGCAATAACTAACTACCATATGCCTTTAGAAACCCTAGATTCCGAGAGTATCGCACTCCTTTGCGCCGCCGATTCCGCCATTTTATGTCCAGTTAGCAGATAAATTACAACCGTATGACTTCAGAACCACCAATCTACCAAAGCCAGAATTAATGTACTCAAATCCCTCAGTAATGCTTTCAATTGTAACGATGGATGCTAGCGAAGTTTTCCCCCCACAATCTTTGTTTAAGGAGTTACCTTTTCATCGTTTAGGACTTTTATTATTAGAAAATTTCTTAACCCTTAGGGAGGTTACTTTTCCAACGCTTAGCAGATGATTAGAAAAAAAAATAGTCCGTCGCTTTGCGTCATTGCTTCATTGAAATTCTGCCATTGCCTTACAGTCATGCCTGCCCATAAACACGTTGCAATTTCTTTTTATGTAGATAACGATAAATTATTTCGATATAGATAACAGTTGTACGATTGGAGGAACATTGTAAATATGGAACTAAACTTGTTCGTCAAAACCAAACATTTTCATCTCTATGCTCAAGGAAGGGATGCAGG